CAAAGCCCAGAGGATGGATTTTGGTTATTAAATTTTAAAAGAATCTAAAGCAACTATTGTAATTAGTAGTCAATAAAATACTTTCAACCAAATAAAATTAATCTAGTAACCATTTTATATATTTAAAAAACATTGCCTAAGGCTATCTTTCTTGATAAAACTGCTACAATCTCCCTATCAGTACTGATTTTAATGCCACACTTTGTATTAGAGAGAGCATTATTCATGTGAGGCAAGTTAAGACTGAATTAAATCACAGTGATTAATTTGCTTGTGGGTTAAAGCTGAATTTTAAAAATCTATAAAACTATGTAGAAACGATAGAAGGAAATCTCAGTAATTGGGGTGAAGGTTTTTCTATAATTAGCTGCAATGCATCATTAAATTCTATTGTACTAGCAACTCAAAAAATATAGCTCTCTTAGAACTAACAAGAGAAAGATCAGAACAAAGATATTTAGCTTCAATACATTATATTTCAACCTTTTTCATTATATACTCATAGTTAAATATGGTAACAACCACCATTAATAAAATATTTGAAAGAAACAATCAATAAAATGTGAGACAAGAAATACAATGAAACAAGTATTTGGCTTATTGAGGAATAGGAAATCTAACAGAGGTCTCTAACATCAAATATGACACAGTTGTTAAAATTGAGAAGCTGTTTACTAAAGTTACATCATCAAGTACATTCATATTTCTAAGATTTTATGACTACAGTTATAGAATTTATGTCATTACTGTCTTCAGCCTTTCATTTTCTTTTTTCTGCCCTTGTATTTTTAACAAGCTCTATAAATTTTATTCTTATTATCAAAAAATCCTACAGTAAAGATGAATATATAATAGTTATATATATGTAGATGAATTGATGGATAGATAGAGATAGATGATATAGATGATAGATAGATGATAGATGATTGATAGAAATTAGTGATAGATAGACAATAGATGATAGACAGATGATGACAGATGATAGATGATAGATAGATAGATAGATAGATAGATAGATAGATAGATAGATGATAGATAAAAAGGAAGCTTTATTAGGAAAGCCATATAAGCTCATTGGCTGCTATGCTACAAACACACTATAGGAGACAAAGGTAAAAGCACAGTTATTTGGCTGTACAATAACCCAGATAGGAAATGGTAGCAACTTGGATCAGGTAATAGCAATAAAGGTGGTAAGACCTGGAGGTGCAGCAACAAAATTTGATGGAGGTTTTAATGTGGGGGTTTCTGTCTTCAGCAGCTGAGGGGTGGCGTTTCCATTAACTGCACTGGGGAAGAATATGAGTGGGGCAGATGTTTATGGGAGGTGACTAGGAGTTCACTCTGGCCAGTTTCATTGGACATAAATAGGCTGTTGGATAGGAAAGTCTATAGTTCAGGGAACAGATCCAAGATGAGTATGCCTATTTTGGTGGTGTTAGCATAAATTTTTAAAATCATTGGATCGTATGATATCATTGAAGGGAAGATATAGTCAGAAAAAGGAAGAGGCACAGGACTGAGTTCTAGAATATCCCAAATTTAGGATATTATCTTGGTCAAACTGCTTCCAAGCAATGCCTTACCAAGTTACACACAGGCCAAAATTACATGACAGTCAGTCGCCATAGCCTTTGCTAAAATTGTGCATTATCTTTCTCCATTTGACATATTAAAAATGGTCTCTTGCTATTTTAATATTAATTAATTACAAGTGAAAATAAGATTTTCTTGTATGTTTATTAGTAATTTGTGTTTTTGTCTTCTGTAAATTACCTATGGACTCAGCTCACTTTTGTCTTCGGTCCTTATTGATTTAAAAAATCACCTTTACATATTCAGACAATTAACCTTTCACTTAGGTATTTATTGCAAATGCTCTCATTATCATTTTCATAGTTTTTGGTATGAGAAGTTTTACATTTTCTAGCTAAATCTATTACTTACTTACTTTGTTATGTATTCCATTGCTTTAATACATACAAAAATAAATTATATATTTTCTTCTAATAGCTGATGGTCTCTTACTTTTTACATTTAACTCTCGGTCCTTCTGACACTTGTGTTTGGTCATGTGGAAAGACTCTCATTAAATATTTTCTTAGAGTTTTAGCTCATTTTATAATTATATTAAATAATGTATCAATTCCATTTTTGCAATATGTCCTCTAAGTTAAATTCAGTTCTTATCCATAGTAAAGTTTAGTTCTGAGATATCTATTCCTTCTCTTTGTTTTGGCTACTAACTCTTGTGTCTATACTTCAATACTTTATTATAGTGTTTTAAAGTTATATGTTATGTTATTTGTCAAATAACTGAATTTCTAACAGGCAAGTGGGTCTTCCCCCTGGTTGGTAGGTTCACTGCTAAACCAGAGACCTGGATGCTAATTTTTGCTTTCTTCTTGTTTTGTATAGCATATGGTATACACTCTAAGAATACATTTTTAAATTCACCCTCACTGCCTATGAAATTAGTGGAAATCTCCTATACCCTGTTCCCAGGCCAAGACTTTGGAGTATGTCTCCTTACTTACAGTACTGTTATGGTTAATTCTTATATATCTGCATGGGAATTTTCTTAATAGGCTGGGGGAAATTAACATAGGCCTGGAGAGTTTGCTGCCACATTGAATTAAATTTAGATATGTTTGTGGGGGGGGGGTTGTGGGTTTCGTTTGTTTGTATAGGCTGCTTTT